CGAAGCCAGCCGGCCAAGCTGAAGGTACGGGGATGTATTTATAGCACCGTGCGAGCCGGGGAGCAGCAGGGACAGGAGGGGGGAGGATGGTGCCCGAGCAGTCGTGTGCAGCACAAGATGAGACCTCTGAGGAGCAGAGGAGCGGAAAGGCGCCGGTAAGGGGCAGACAGCGGGGACAAAGGAGGGGAGCAGCCCCCGCAGGAGCAGGGCTGAGGGCCGCGGTGGACAGCTGGGAGATGCATGACATATTTTTGTGTGGTTATTTGATGCAGCGATTCCCTCTCTGAATGGCGTGTGTGTGCATGGGGGCGCTCAGGGCAGGAGTCAGCTCTGCGTGTGTGCCCCAATGCAGCCTGGTTTGCGTTAGCCCTTTAACGCCTTATTTGCTAGCTGGTTTTCTCTCTGCTGCAGCAAATGCTGGTGGGCGAGTGGTTTTGCTGATACTCCTATGCCCAGCCCCAGGCCCAGGCCGACAGAGGTACATGGGAGATGCCCCAGAGGCTGTTTGCGTTATGAATTTATGCAGCTTTCTGGCAATGAAAGGAAGCGAAGGGTCTGCTGCTCCTCTGGGACTGGGCTGTGCTGGTTCGTGCAGACGCAGATGTGGCGGCCGTGCCTGGCCAGAGGGGAACGGCTGGAGGAAGGGCTGCCTGGGAGGGAGCTGGACAGCTTGCGCTGGGGGCTGTAACACCGACAGGGCCATCCCTCCCCAAAGAAGTGGAGACAGGGGTACCAGGATCACACAGCACAAGCTCCGTAATTTCTGGGGTTTGCTCAGACCTGGGGTAGAGGCTATTCTTCAAATTTTCTGTGGTCCCATGGTGTTTAATTTTAGCTCTTTTGAATACATGCAGCAAGGCTCCATTTATCCCCAGGCTGACTGAAGTCACACAAAATCTGGATTGGTTTAAACAGCACGTCCACCGGGGAGGTGAGGAGGGAATCGGGAATGGCAGGAGCAATGGAGGCCATGCTGTATACCCTGTCTTGGAGGTACAAACAGCCCTGCAGGCACCTTGGTACCATCGGTGGCTTCTCTTCTTATGCAACAGATCCCGAATGTTTAACCCTGACAGGAAGAGAACTTGAACCCACCAGTGCTGTGTTCCTTGGTTTGAACTACCAAGGAGAGCACTGCCAGCCAAGGAGCCTCGGCCATGTGATGGAGGATGTGAGGACATGGCGCGTTGCTATGGTGTCCAGTGGACCCGCGAGCATATGCTGAGGGAGGGTACAAATGTGTTTTTCTTGGCTTGGGGAGAACTGGTTTGTAACAAGGCCCCAAAGGTTGGCCACATCTCTCGGTGGCCTCTGCTGCGGTGTGCGTGTCACGTTCCCAGGCGCGTGAGAGCTGGACGCTGGTGGGAACAAAGGCAGCACATGGAGGAGGCGGTGGGGAGAGAGGCTTCTGGTGCCAGAGAGCCATGGGCTCGGCTGCCTCGGGCCCTTTCCTGACAGCTGGGGTTGGCGAGGGAAGCGGTGCAGTGACCGGCTGTCCCAGCCTGCGTCAGCTTGATGGGAGCTGGCTCGTGAGGGTCAGGAGCGTGTGGAGGGGGCTGTGATGCCTCCGTGAACTCTCTCTGTCCAAGTGTCTCATCTAATGAATGGATTTCAGCTTTTCACAACCCAGAAAGCCACTTGCCTTCAGTAACGTTCCCAGCCCTCTATACTCGTTTTGGTGCTCTCCATCCTGTGCATGGTTGCTCTGCAGATAGCATCTGTGTTGAGTCTTAACAAAGATGGTGAGTGGTGTAGAGCTTTGGGTGAGGCAGACACCAGGCTCAGGAGGCTCCTTGGGCTCCTTAAGTGTGATGTTGATGTTGGCACACTAGCAGAAACAGTGGCATGTGCCTGTCACAGTGTCCCAGCACAGCTGGGATGGGAACACACGTTGGTTCTCTTAAAGCTGAGATGGGGAGCCCAGGGTCTGTGCAGCTGTGGCGCAGGGTCCATGTTGTTGTTCCTGAAAGAAGGCTGTTAGAAGAAGGGGATCCCTCTCCGCAATTTCCCCTGCATCTCCCTTCCCCTTTACAGACACACTGGTCACCAGCTTCCAGGAAGGCTCTGCAGTGTGTCCATGGCTGGTCAGAGAGGGCCTGTCTGCGGACAGGGCTTTTCTCCTTGTGACTCTGGCTGCTTACCACTGCAAGGGAAGTTCTTGGCCTTGTGCTCAGCACTGACCTTCCGTAATGTGAGGGAAATGACCGCATGAGTCATGAGTAAAGGGCAGTGTCCAGCCAGGATTTGCTCATTTCAAGAGTCCTTGAAATTCCACCAAGCTATGGGGATGTAACCAGAGGTACAGTAAATCCACACTTTCTTGGTTGGGCTGAACAAAACCAAGAGATCAGGTCCAGCCAGTCACACTTGGCTCCAGTGGAGTTGCACCAGAGCTCAGCTCCCCGGTGTCAGCCCATTTGTGCATTGTCAGCTGTAGGTAGAAAACAAAGAAAGTAAGAGAAGCCCACCCCAAGCCCCACCTCTGGTTTCATTAGTGTTACTAATGCTATTTCATGTGATGTGACTGTGGCTTCTACACGTTAAGAAAGCACTCAGTGATGCGGGCTGCATCTAGGGGGTGGTTAGGCAGCAGGTAATGCTCCGTTAATACCATATGTCATGCCCTCACCAAAAGCATCTCACCTGTGTTCTCAGTACCTTTGCATCTTCCCACTTCCCATGCTCCTTGAACTTCTGTCTCTACAGAAATAATACTAGGCATTATTCAGGATTTCCTCTTACTCAGGAGTGGCTGTGACACAGCAAGAACTAATCCCCTCTCAGGTCAAACAGAAGCCAAGCCGCTGTGCCTTCCTCCAGACATGGCTCAGGACACCACAACCCTGGGGTGCTCTTTACAGAGAGCTATCTGCATGCTCCTCTGGAGGAAGAGTTGCAGAAATTGCTCTGAGACACCTGGGGAGAAGTGACATTTGGTGACCTTGCTGTGAAGGGAGCCTGTGACTGTGCAGGAGAAGCAAAGAGTTAGGAAAGTTGTGTGTCAGTAGCAGCTCCAGATGTGCTTTCTGGTGGGAATGGCGGGATGTGCCTTTTCCCTTGCGCTGTGCTGGGAGGCTGCCATGAACTGCAATGTCAGCTGGTGGGAGCAGGCCTGCAGCTGAGGGGAGGTGGCCCTCTGTGCCCACCCTGAGGTAAGAGGCGGTGTGTGCCCTGCCCCGCACCGCTGCCAGGGCAGGGACCAACCTCTCCTCCACCCCTTGCCTCCGCCTCAGGAACTGCTTGAGTCCAACTCCCTGTCGCTGTGTGAGGGTGGAGCAGGAGGGGTGGCACGCCCTGATCTGCTCCCATCCGCTTCTGCCCTGCAGGACCATGAGAAGCAGTACGTGGGCTTTGCCACTCTGCCGAACCAGGTCCACCGGAAATCCGTGAAGAAGGGTTTCGACTTCACCCTGATGGTTGCAGGTGAGACTGCCCTTGGGTGAAGGTGCTGTGCCACATGGTGGGTGCCGTGGAGGGGACCAGCTCTCCTCACTTCCCAAGGCGCTCCCTTGGCATCTGGATCCTCCCGTCACTCTGTTCTGGTTCTTGTCTCAGACCTTGCTCTGCTCCTCAGCCTGGGCTGCAGTCACACTGTTCCCCCAGGAGGAATGGGACCCTCCTGACCGCTCATGACCCGCTTGAGCAAGCACTGAGTGGGGCTTCTCCTCCACCAGAGTGGCTGGTCTGGGTGGTGAAGGCAGAGCCAGCCAGGGACTGAGGGAAAAGGAAAGGGAGGGAGGATGGAGGAGCTGGGAGATCACATTTATACAGGGATTAAGATATCTTACAGCAAAAATCCTCCCACTGCTGGAAAAATGTAATGCCCATAAACAGCTTTTGACAGCTCATTTCTTTCACTTCCTCTGGCTCAGGATTCAAAGTCTTGCTCAGAGTTTAATTTGTAAGTCAATTAGTGGGTCATGTTGCTTGCTTTTCCCTCCTCCCCTTTGCACTCTGTCAATTAGGAGAGTCGGGTCTGGGCAAATCCACGCTGGTGAATAGCCTGTTCCTGACAGACCTCTACAAAGACAGAAAGCTCCTCAATGCAGAGGGTAAGTTGGGGACAAAGTGGGGTGAACGGTTCTTGTGCCCACAGGTCTAGACTGTCCTCAGGACCAGTACTTTGGTTCCTTGCTTCAGCTGCAGCTACAGACTTGGCTGGATCCTAGGCTCTCCATTGCTGGCTGCAGCAGCAAGAAGGGTTTGATTGTAGGGCTCTTCTGTCATTCAAAGGGAAGATGAGGCTGCAGAGCAGCCCTAGCTCTTTGGGTTGAGATCTGTCCTTTGTTCTTGGGTGCTGGAGTGTGGTAGGGATTCCACTTCCCAAGTGACTGGACAAAATGTTCAGAGCAGCTGGCCTACAAGCACTTCAGAGGTTTGTGCATCTTCTCAGAGTCTGCCTGCCTGCTGCTGGCCTCCCACAGTACCACTCCCCTGAGGCACCTTAGAGGATGGTCAGGGTTTTTTGAAACCCGCGTTATTCCCTTTGCTCAGTGATAAAGAGGGAGCCGGGTTGTCGTGGGTGTGAGCAGGGATCCCCAGTTACCGCCTGGCTTTAACTCACGTATTCTTGTTCAAAGAGAGAATCAACCAAACAGTGGAGATTGTCAAGCACACGGTGGACATTGAGGAGAAGGGTGTCAAGCTGAAGCTGACTATAGTGGACACACCAGGCTTTGGAGATGCTGTTAACAACACTGAGTGGTGAGCAGGCCGCCGCTGCCTTCCTCCTAGTCCTTGGCCATGTCTGCTTGCTGTGTGTGCTCCACAGGAAGGGGGTCTGGCATCGGGAAGGGGGTGATACTGCCTCATGGTCCCTACAAGACAGTGTTCTTTTAAACACATGATTTTGTTTTGCTTGAATTACCCTTCCCAGCTGGAAGCCCATCACCGACTACATCGACCAGCAGTTTGAACAGTATTTCCGTGATGAGAGCGGCCTGAACCGAAAGAACATCCAGGACAACCGAGTGCATTGCTGCCTCTACTTCATCTCGCCCTTTGGGCACGGGTGAGAGCCCCTGCTCCATTGCCAGGGTGTCACTCAGTCTGAAGGGAAGACCCTTGTGCCTGAGGATTGCTCCATAGCAACTTGTACATTGGCAGGGCTATTGGCACAGGAGAAGTGCTGTCTGGATGCTCTCCCTCAACTGAGCATCACACCACCTTGCTCACCCTCACTGGTGTGACAGACTGTCCATGCTCAGGCCCTCAGGCCTGTAGCCTGTTTTGGAAATCAGGAGAAATAACGCCACAAAGAGTTGTGTCTTCCTATCTAGCTAAGCCTGACTGATGGGTAGGAAAGGGAGTTTTAAGCTGCCCCTTGCTGGCTTGTGTGCCAGCCTAGCCTGGAGCAGCTGGAGGGGCTGGTTGGCTGCCTGCAGTACAGGGCAGCTGGACAGAGGCTCTGGGCTGTGGCCTGGGCAGTATTTGGCCTGCAGGGAGCAAATACCCAGGCTGTGTGTGTGTGAGACATTCAGCAGCTAAAATCTGAGATGGCTTTTCTGAAGATACAGCCATAGCTGAGGGCTGTCCCAGTGCTGCCCTAGGTCCCTGTAACAGCAGTGCTGTCCTTTTCCCTTCTTGCTGAGTGGGCGGGAGAGACTGGAAGGGGAGCTGCCCAGTGTGTCCCTACTAACCATGTCCCTCTTCATCCCTGCTGCAGGCTGAGGCCTGTGGATGTTGAGTTCATGAAGGCTCTGCATGAGAAGGTCAACATTGTGCCCCTGATTGCCAAAGCTGACTGCCTGATCCCATCTGAGATCCGGAAGCTAAAAGAGAGGGTAAGTTGGTCTTTTTCTACAGGGGTATACCTGATGTGGCGGCAGGGAGGCAGGGATGGGCTGAGGAGCAAGCGGATATATATATATATATATGTATATGTGTGTGTGTGTGTGTATATATATATATAATATATGTAGTAGCATGTATATGTGTCTGTATATATAGATGCACACAGTACCTGCAAATCTAATTGCAGCAGTGCTCTGCTGTGAGAACAGAGGTGGTGTCTGCTCTCTAGAATAAACATCTGTAGGCTATTTGTAGGCTTTAGCAAACCCGTGGTAGCACAAACAAGGAATAAACCCAGCATTTCCGGATTGTTCAGTGTTGCATGCTTTTGTTCTTGTCTTGCATGGACACAGATCCGGGAAGAGATTGACAAATTTGGCATTAAAGTGTACCAGTTTCCCGAGTGTGACTCTGATGAGGATGAGGAGTTCAAGCAGCAAGACAGAGAGCTGAAGGTAAAGAACCTGCTCAGCAGGGGACTGGGAAGTCTGACTCAGGGGTCTGTCAGTTGCTCCAGGAGGAGCCAGAGCTCCCCTGTGTGTGCCAAAGTCCAGTGCTACTGATACCCAGCCTACGCTGGCTCACATGGTAGGTAGCCTGGAGAAAGTGCTGATGTCCATGCTGGTGCTATGAAATCAAGTATGGGATGAAGACTTCTGCTTCCCACCAGGTAGTGTCAGTCTTTCCTCAGTCTATGTTTAAGATGGAGGTTGTACAGCATTTGTAAACACCTATTTCTGAGCAATTCCATCAGCAAGGAGAAGTGATTTGTGAGTCATGAACCACCACTGTGACACAGTAGTTGCATGAGGGAGAAAATGTGATCATACAGTCAGTCTGGAGGCCCCAGCAGCCCAAGCCTGATTCTCTGCCAAGCCAAGTCAGCCCTGCATGTGCATGTCAGAGAGGGGCAATGGGCCTTGATTTCCTTCTGAGCAGAGAGAAGCACAGCCTCGCCTACACTATTCCACTTGCTTGGTGTCCCAGCACCTCTGCTCTGGCTCCCTTGTAGTTTCCCCTCAAAGAAGGGGCACAGGCACCTGCAAAGACACAGTTTCCTCCAGGACAGCTGAGAAAGTCAGACTGTGAATCAGGCTACCTGCAGACCCCAGTGCCTTAGACTTTTCTCTGCAACTGGGTTGTGATGCCCTGCGCTGTGGCACATGAGGATGTCCTTGTGCCTTTCCTACCAGCACTTTCCTCCTCCTGTTCATCTCTGCTTGGGCTTGGCCCTTGGAGGAGGGATTCATGAGCAGTCTGGGGCTGAGCTGGGCTCAGTAATGCCTCTCATTCCAGGAGAGCGCTCCCTTTGCCGTCATTGGCAGTAACACTGTGGTGGAGGCGAAAGGCCAGCGGGTCCGTGGACGGCTCTACCCCTGGGGCATTGTGGAAGGTAAGCATAGTGTCTGGGAGCTGCTCACAAGGTCTGTTACTGGGGGTGTAGTAGTCGCCGTGCCTCTGAAGCCATGGCAGACTGAAGAAGATCGGATCCAGTGTGAATGGAAGAATGTCTGAGCTTTAATGCACTAGGATATGCCTTCTTATTAAGGGGAGAGGCTGGACATACATTGCCAGCTTAATTTCTGGGGCGAAGCTATTTCCCTCAGCCAAACTGCATTGTAAACCCTCTCGCACTCTCCTTTTCTCCTGCTGCTCCTGTATGTGCTAGAGTTGCTGGGCTGGAGGCTGTGCTGATTGACAATGTGTTTCTAACTTTCTTCCTTTCTAAAGCGAGAAATTTCATAAAACCCATAGGCAGAATAACCCTAGAATGGCTTTTGCTGCTGTTGCCGACTCCCTGGTGCTGGCACATTGCTTTAAGGTCTGGCATCTTTAGATCCCCAGAGCCTGTGTGTGCACTCGTGGGCTGGTGCCAGCTGCTTGGGCTGCCCAGCTGCTGCCTCTGCTCTCCCGCTGGCTCTGGAGGGGGCTGTGCCTGTCGGGGCGCTGGCATTTGGCAGTGGGATCAAGGGGCTCTTGGAGAGGGCTGGTGAGGTGTGACATCCAAGCACTCTCCTGCTTTTGCTTCTGCAGTGGAAAACCAGGCACACTGCGACTTTGTGAAGCTACGGAACATGCTGATCCGGACACACATGCATGACCTGAAGGACGTCACTTGTGATGTTCACTATGAGAACTATCGAGCTCAGTGCATCCAGCAAATGACCAGGTGGGTCCCCACCGCTTCAACCAGAGGTGGCAGGGGTGTTTCACACTCTGCAGAGCTGGGGTTGCTCTCAGGATGGCTTGTGGGTCAGGAGGCTCTGAGTCTGCTTGGGGACATGCTGGGCTGCAGCCTGGGGAATTGTGCTGGAAAGTAAAATAGCAAATTCAAGTGTGTCTCCCACAGCCTGAACCCATGGTGGGAATCCATGTTCCTCTCTGAAGATTCCCCACACAGATCTTGGGAAGTAGACCTGGAGACTTTTCTGAAGAGCTGCTCTTAGCACTGGGTGAAATACATCCAGCCTAATGAAAGGGGACAAACCCTTTCTCTGGTGGGTGATATTGCCAAAGATATGGTGGGTGTGCATTGCCAAAGACGAGGGCCTTCTGCAGTCTGCAGTTCTGTCCAATTGACAGCATGGCCCTTGGGATGCTGCTGTTTCCCAGACAACAGAGCCCAGGCAATTAGCAAGACTTCTAACACATCTCCAAAGATTTCTTTACATTGTCTTCCCATGGCATTTAATTCTCTGTGTTTTTAGTCACAATGATCAGAAAACAGAGGAGAGACCACTTGCAGGCTTCTTATTTGAAACATCTTTTTTTTTCCTTCTCCCTTCCATGACTGAAATACTGGTGACAAATTTTAGGTTTAAGTAGGTCTTGGCTCATCTATTGTAGCCCATCCCCTTCACTTCCTGCCTGAACTGGCTGCATAGATCTGTGCTGCCACGTTGCAGAGCAGAAATGGCTGTACTTCACCAAGGAGCAGTCCTGCATGTGTGCAAACGTGCAAGTTTGCACATTGTATTCACACACAACGTATCTCAGGACTTTTCCATAGCAGACGAGCCTGTCTTTTTCAACAGTGAGAATACAGAGTCCCAAAATAACTACGTTAAATGCTAGAGATCTGTGAGAAGTGTCACAGCTGCTGTTTAGGTAGGCTATGTATCTATTAAAAGAAGAGCATGATGAAAAAAACAATTGCTCAGCTTAAGCAAAGCTTACATTTGGTACCGTTTCTCACGCCATGGCTAGTTCCTTGCCAGTGAACAAGTCTCATAAAACCAGAGCAGAGCCATTTCTAGCAGTGGGATAAGGATCCTTCTCTGGAGAGACGTTTTGGGAGGAGATTCCCAAGCTCCTGGGCTGGAATTGACTGAATAATGAGCCAACGGTGACACCAAGTGGTAAACACCTGCAAGTGGCATCCTGCATTCCCAGTTTCAGCCCCTCCTCACCTATTGACAGCTCCTCTGACTGTTGAAAGAAAATCATCTCCTTCCTCTGTCCCTTGCCTGCACTCATGTGCGCTCCCAGCCCTCATTGCAATGCTGTTGTGCCGTGCCTGTTGTGTCTCATGTCTCCCACCTCCTGAATGTGAGGGCAGGCTCTATTGGCAGACTTGTAGTGATTAAGCTGCTCCCCTGGTTTTATCTTCCTGGAAAAGAAAGGACCATGGTGAGCATGTGGTACCTTAGGGATGCAGATAGTTTGTGTCGATGCTATGTGTATGTGTAGGCACTTGCAGAGATGAGCCAAAGAAGACCAGAAAAATTAACTGTGAATCTCTATGCTAAGCTTGCCAGTGCAATTGCAGAAGGTGGTCAGAAACATCAGCCCTTTCTGTGTTTGCTCTCAGTGTAAGCCTGGTTTGGATTTTCTCTGTTAGCTACCCACAAGATTCTATTTTGAAAACTTTTATTTACTTTGGTCTCATTCTGCACCCATGTGCATCCCGTACCTCTGGGCTAGATTGCACCACAGCCCTTCCACCTGGCTGGGTGCGTGCTGATGCGCTGCTGGCAGGTCTGCCATTATGAGTGACACCACAGCTGGCCAGCCTGAACCACGACTGACTGCATTTCTTCCCTCTCTCCATCTCTCTAGCAAGTTGACTCAGGACAACAGGATAGAAAGCCCGATTCCTATTCTGCCTCTCCCAACACCAGACACTGAGACAGAGAAGCTGATCAAAATGAAGGATGAGGAGGTAAGACCCATTTCTGCCTGGAGCCTCCTGGGGAATCTAAGGAGTTTCTCCGGGGTTGCCCCATAGAGGCTGTCGTGGGGCTTCCCACTCCTGCCTCTCACCATCAAGGGCTCCTGGGGTGGAGGACAGGGTGTGAAAGCTGTGGTTTCTTCTGTCACGGAAACATGGCTCCATCCCACCCGAGACACAGATGACTCTGTGCTCAGGCAGGAGTTAATACTCTCTGAGGGATCCCTTTGTCAGCTCCAAGGGACTGCCCCCAGTGCAGATCACCAGCTCCCAGCCACAACAAATCCCTTTTTGACTATTTCTTCTTTGTCTCATGCAGTTACGGCGGATGCAAGAGATGCTGCAGAAGATGCAGCAGCAGATGCAGGATCAGTGAGAGGCAGGTACTTGGAGGGCAGAGGGAATCCCTCAGTGACCATCTGAGGCCTGGCAAGAGCTGTGGACGTTCAGAAAAGGTTTCCTGTTGTATAGAGACTTGTGGGCAAGAGCTGTACCCGCACCCTCTAATTTATTAGCAGCAATGCTGGCTTTGCAGTCAGCTGGATTGTGGAGGAGGCTGTTCACTTAACAGTTTACTGATGTGTATTTCTTTTTTAATAATTATTTTTTCTTTTCTTTTTTCTTTTTTTTTTAAGGAAAATAACCTGGGAAGTCTCTAAGGCATCCTAAAAAAAAAAAAAAAGAAAGAAAGAAAAGAAAAATATCTCCCTTTCCCATGTACTAATCTCTTTTTTGGGAATGCTCTGGTATTTAAAGTCCTGGTTTCTCTGGTGTATGAACTCGAAGACTATCTGTGTCAATGCACGTAAATGTTTACTCCCAGCTGAGGTGCTGTGGTCCACTCCCCATTCCCGTTGTCTGGGGCCAGCACAAGCATTGTAAAGGCAGCCGTACCCTCCTGTGAGTTTGACCTGTGTTGCTCGGGCTCAGACAGCTGGGGCTGGAGGTTTCTCTGTGCACTGACCTGCTCAGGGGTCCTGTTGGCTGCCTGATTTCCTGCCCAAGTTTTTCTGGGTTTTTGTTTAGTTGGTTGGTTTTGGTTTTTTCTGTCAAGAAACTCCAGGATCTTTGCACTGAGCAGCAAAGGATTGAGTCTCTCAAGGTCAGTTAGAAGAAAACGTCTTCTACTGCTCTCAGTTATGTCTTTCTGACAGAGAGGATGAGTTGTTGACTGTTGCCTGCAAGGAAGAGATGATGGGAATGGGTACCTTCCCAGCCATGGTTTCCTCCCACAGCAGGCTGGAGGTGTTGCAGAGGAACTCCAGGGCCCTGCAGTAGCTGGGTGAGGGTATCTTATGGTTTAGCTCTGGTATCCAGCTGCAGTGTGTCTCTAGTTTCTGCTCTGAAAAGCACCATGGCAGCCAGAGTGCTAGGCCAGGACAGCTTTGGAGGAGGTAGAAAACCCAGGGCTGAAATCCAACCCCAAGTGCAGAGATGTGCCCTATCCCCAGGCTTTGTGGTCCCACAAGTGCACTGCTGTCTCTGAGCTTCTCCTGGGGAAAGGGGCATTTTCTGTAGGTTTGTACCAGAGATCTGCAAGCTGACTGTCCAGGCAGGCGCTGGGTCAGCATGGCAGGTCCAGGAGTGTCACTGCATGGGGCTGAGCACAGCCCAGCAGACTTGGCACTTGCTCCCCTGCCCTTCCCTTGGGACTTGGCGCTTCTCCCTCTCCCCCATCTCTGGCTTTTCCTGTCTCAGTGCTGGGAAGGCTGGTGGATCTGCTGGGCAGAGATAAGAGCACTCTTTGGACAGCAGCTTCTGTCCTGTTCTTGCTTCCTGTGGTATTTTTAACTTCAATCCAGCCAGAGCAGAGCCCTGGAGTGTGATGTGCCTGACAGGGCACAACACTGCCGCACTCGCAGGGAATCAGGGCTGTTGGAGGGAGAGACACTTGGCTCTTCCCTCCGACTCCAGGGAGTGCTGCCATGGGCTGGACCCTTCTCCTGACCTGATTCTTTTGTCCCCTTTCCCCTTTTATATCCACTCCTCTGTCTCTCCCCAGTAGAGCTCCCTGGGTAGGAAGCACAGTGTTGGCCAGGAATAGCCAGGCCCTAAATTCTGTTATTAGGCACTGCGTTTGTCTGATTCCCCTCCCATGGGGCATTAGAGTCCTGATCAGGGCTTGTCCAAGTGGTGAGTAGGTTGGCTGGTTCCAGTTATTCACTGTACAGAGCCTCTGCTTAGCCAGAACATGGGCTGTAGAGGCAGGGGAGAGACCCTGGCACAGCGTGGAAGGAAAAGCGAGGGCGGAAGCCCCTTGGCAGAAATGTGCAAGCTGGGCAAGAGCAGTCTCCTACTTTTTTTTTTGTTTTCTTTCATTCTCCCCTGTATTGGGCTCATAAGTGGTAGTGGCAGTGCTAGCCTAGGAGAGGGGAAGGGTTCAGCTTGTCTTCAATAATGTCCAGGACCAAGGCACTTAAGGAGGAAATACAGCACTTCTTTGGGTGATGTGCTTTGCTTGAGCAGTGGATTAGCCTGAAACAGGACCTTCTGCCAGGTTTTCTGGAGCTGGTTTGCTGCTGTCCAAAGCAGGACGACTGCTGAGTTCTCAGCTTTATCTGTGCTAGCATAATGGGAAACACCTTGCAGTGCCCATCCCTTATTTTCTTGATACTAGTCTTGTCTGTGAAGAGGATGTTCTCTTGCAAACGAGGCCTATCCAGCTAAAGATGTTCCTCTTTTGAACACATTCACTCCTAGAAGATAAAGGAGACCTTTACACTTTAGCATGGACATAGAGGAGCTGTCAGCTTCTGTCCTGGGCTGCATGTGGAAGTGCTGTGTGCTGGTGAGAGCACAGGGTACTCTGGACACAGGCAGGCAGGATTGCTGAGGGTGAGTTTGCCCCTGTCCCTATGGGTGAGGAAGTCTCCATCAGCTCAGTGCACATGGTTCCTCCATCGAGTCGATAGTCACAAGTCGGTTCTCTACAGAGAGCTGAAGCCCTTGGCTACCAGTTGGAGAAGGTGGTTCAAGTTGCACTTAGAAAAAGTTCCACAGGAGTGAGGCACCAGAGACAGCTTCTGCAGAGGGGCAGTGGTAGTGCTGAAATCACGTCCCCATGTAGGAGGTTCCCTGCCCAGAGCACCAGAGTTTTGGGACTGCCTGGAAAGGGGTTAGAGATTGACTTTGGGGGGCACCAGGAATTCAGACTCTGGCCTGGAAGGTGGCATCTGTTTATTAAAGGAGAAATGTTTCATACTGCTGCATTGAGCTGCACAGTAAGCAGAGAAGAGACTTCTGAGCAAATGTGGCTTGGTCATTTGACTCTGGTGGTGAGAAGTGTGGATAGGAAAGTAATTTAACACCTCCCTTCGTGCAACCCTCCACAGCCTCATATGCGACCAGTGCACCCCCAGGCACATTCCCACGTCTCTGCCAAGCTTTGCCGTGCTAAGTGAGTCGCTGCAGGGGTGGTGTCACTCCACAGAGCTGTCCCAGGCTGCAGCTGGGGCTGTCGGTACATCTTGGACCTTGTTCCTGACTGGGGAGGGAGCTGGGGCATGAGCTCCTTATGTGCCGCTGCTGTGCTGGTCCTGCCTGTGCAGTCCTTGCTGCCTCCCTGCATGCCTCCCCCCAGAGAAGGAGGGGGTCCCACTTTTCGTGCTCTGTGATGGCGTTCCCTGCTCCTCACAAACCCCGCTGTGCTTTAACGCTGGCTTGCTCCTGCCATGTGACTTCCTCACCCCCTGCTCCATTCCTATGCTCTTTGTTTCTTGTCCATCTGTTGGGTTATTATAATATATATTTTTTTGTACATTTCTGTTTGAACATTTTTGTCATTGTGAACAAAGAAAAATGAAACCTTTTAAAACATATCCATTTTATTAAATGATTATTGTTATTATTATTAATAATGTTTACTACCTGAATTGATCAGTGAAATAAATACATTCAAAAAACCAACCTCTTTCTGTTTAGTTTTCAGTCCTCTTGAGCAGCACTGGTGGTACATTATGGACAGGAGAGCGCAATACTGATGTTGTTTCTCCTTTTATTCAGTTCTGTCAGAGCAGGCTCCAGGCAGGGCTTCCTGCATGGGATTTCTGGCCTGTGCTTATGTCAGAAGCTAGACAAGATGATCGTGCAGTTCTTCTGTCTTAAAGTTTCCCCTAGGAGCAGTGTCTAAATCAGCAATGGGCAGCTGGGCAGGATCCAGTCCCAGGAAATCCATTTTGTGAGTAGCCAAAGGAGGAGCATTGCTGAGTCTGTGCTGCATGCAGAGTTAGGACTGGTCTGGCTCCAGATTGGCTCCATGCCACACCTGGCCTGAAAACCTGCCTATGGATAAACGCAGTACCAAATGCATGAGATGAGGCTGTTGCGGGGCAAACTTACCTTGTGGTAGTCAAGTGCTCCCAAGTGGAATGCAGGCCCTGCAGGAAAGACTAAGTTCGTTTGTTAGCCTCAGATTTCTTTCCCACTCTGCCTGCCTGCCACAACTGGAACGGTCTGCTCCAACTCACTTGAAATTTAAAGCTTAATTGTTTTGTTTAGAGTATCAGAGATTTTCCCTTGGTTGGGGCCAAATTCTGCTGTTTTTTTGCACCCTAAATTCTCTTTGACGTTAGCACATCCAGGGTGTTCATCATTTCTGCACTGTACAAGTGCACAGTACACGGTAGTGGCAAGTTGGGCCCAACGGGGTAGCAGTTTCGCAATGTAATTCTGGTGGCTTTGTCCTAGGGAGCACAGCCAATGCCTAGAGTCAGGATGAGGGCAAAAGAATGTCTGTGAAGTTGTGATGGCCTTGAAAAGACAAGATTCTACCTAAATGTAGATTTGATCCTTGGATTTACATGTTCAAGTATTTGTGTAAAGCAACTTCTGAATAAAGCATGTTGTCAGTCTTTCTCGGTAACTGTAAGCTGCATTCGTTGAGAGCTGCCGGCTGTCAAAGGAGCAGTTTCTCAGAGCACTGTCTTTCCCAGTCTGTTGTCCTTCCTGTGAATCCAACTAGTTAGTTTTGATGTAGACAGTGAAACACCAAGAGTTATATTTTACCCCTGCAATCATGAGAGGATGCAAGTGGCTGGAGGATCTTTCTCCTCAGCTCAACTATTGACACCAGTGAGGTCACTGGAAGTCCATTTCTTTCAGCAGATCTTCCACTGCTAATTAAGACTAGATTTGTGTCACCACTTCAAGGGAAACCTCGGGGTCAGCACACTGCAAAGTGCTAGGCCTCACCACTCTGCCAAATATAGTCTTCCTGATGAGATGAGAAACCAAAGGCCACAGTGTTCAGGGAGCGCAGTACAAACTGGTAATGTCATTTCCCAGTTTGAAATGCATTTTGAGTTACTACTTTGCGACTGAGACTTTGCAATGTTTCTGTTGGACTGAACATGTGAGCCCAGAATCACAGTTACCAGTATTGTCAGCATCTCTTCCAGCAAACGTGTTTCTGTGAGCAGTGTCAGCTCCTGTTTCTTGGAAGACTTGCTCAGTGAAGCCTCAGCTTCCGGTGACATGCAGCAAACTTGCAGGAAGGCCTCATGTGGGAGGTGTCACTGGGATGAGCCTGACCCTTATCTTGCCAGCCAGCTGCAAGGGGATTATCCAGGAGCTCAGCTATGCAGCTGCAAACACTCTCGTGCTGGCTGAATTGCCTTAAGACATTCCTCTTGTGTTGTAAAGCCAACAAGAGAGCAAGGATTGAGCTACCCTGGTAAGTCAATAAAGCTATCTTCTGCTGGTTTTTTTTTTCTTCTTCTCATTTCATTGACAAATTGCACAGAAAAGCACTGCCTTGTTGCAGGTATGTGTAGTTGCTCTAAAGAAGTTATAACAGTAACTCGTGTTCAGTGGTGGCATGAGACTGCAATACAAAGACAGCTCATTGACCCATGTTTCCCAGCTCCAGAAGGAGATTATTCACCTGCTGATTATTCAGTTGCTGGAGCAAAGTGTAGCATGGAAAACTCCACTGACCTCCACCCTCAGTGCTCAGCACCCTCTCTGCTGGCCAAGGACTGTTTATCACTTCTTTTCAAAACCGAAAAGGCTATTTTTTACTTGTGGTAACAGTAAACTTATTTCTAAATATCCTCTTGCAGTTCACATGAAGAGAGCTTTACTTACAGATGTAATTCAGAGCTATAATAAGGCATGAACAGTTTCATATTCTAGTTTTTGATTCTTTGACATAAATTTTGTTGGCTACCATAGTAATGTGCCTCCAGTAATGTCGAAAATACAAGCAGCTCATGTACACTTCTGAGGACCAGTGAAAATGAATTTGATGGCTGCAGCTAAGCCTCCTCAGATTCAGGGTTGGAAGACCAGGAACATTCCCTCTACTGCAATGAGATACCAAGAATTTGCACACCTTTTTAACTCTCTTCTTTTCAGAGCTCTTGCGTCTCCTGTGAAGGACACCAAATTCACCCGACTTTAGAAACTCATCCTCAGAACAAACCAACAAAAGAGCTGGGCTGTGGTGTCAGTCCTAGAGTGTGTGGTGTTTATTCGTCTGGTTTCCACCTCATCCAGTCTCATCAGGGGAGCGTTTGCAGGTGAAGATGAACAGTGGAATTCTCTTCTTGACCCTTCTTGGCTTTTTCCCACTCGTGATGACTGTATGCCCTGTGCCATGCAAGTGTGCCACCAACATTATTGACTGCACGTCAAAAGACCTAACTGTAGAAAAACTACCAGTTACTTTCCGCCCTTCAGCTGAAATTATCCACCTTGGTTACAACAGGCTCACTTCTATTCCCAATGGGCTCTTTGACAACCTAAAGAGCCTCCAGGTAGTCTACCTGCAGGGCAACCCTTGGGAATGCAACTGTGACATCCTCTACTTGCGCTCCTGGCTCCAGTGGCAGCAGAACCGGACCTTATACAGGGATGTGAGATGCACGTCCCCAGCTCACCTGCAGGATCGGGTCATTGCCTATCTGACAGAAGACGAGATCATCTCCACATGCCAGTACTGGTACTGCAGCCTGGCTCTCCTCTCTCAGCTCTGTCTCTTCATCCTCCTTTTCCTCCAGGGTATCTTGGTTATCTTCATCATCGTCTACCTGCAGAAATTTAGGAGAATGTCTGCTGAAGCCCAGAGCACCACCCGAGATCTACACTAGCATGCAGACACCTGGATGTCTTCTTCAAGAAGCCCTTACAACAGTGATTAACACCAGCAGACTGAAGACCTTCCTCCCCCTTGGGTGTTGCTGTCCCAAGGTCATGCAATTTGTGATATCCAGAGGGGACAATTCAGTGCAGCATCTGATGCTGACTGCAGTCCGAAGAAGGACTTGAACTGATCAGATACTTACTGTATTTTCAAAGATTTGATCTTGTGGTTTTTTTTTAATGCTTTAAACTCTTTAGCATGATCTTGATTGCTTTGCTGAGCTGGGAGTGGTTCTGGTTCAGTAGACTAAGGTAATAATAGACTACAGCAACCAGAACCGACTCAAACTGCTCATAAGCTTGTAGGGGCTACAGCGCTCAATCCTTCCTGTGCTAGAGTATTTCAGCCATACTTTCCATGATACTTCTGCTTGCATTGAGTCAGGTGAGGACAGAGGTGGGCAGTGAACAGTTAACAGGTACTGGACTAGGACAACGGAGAAATAGTTTCCCTGGTGCTACCACGGATTGCCTTAGTAACTTTGAACAAGTGTCTTAGTCTGCTCCTGCCTCAGTTTCCCATCAGTAAAAGGGAAAGGGTGTTTCTTCTTGCTTGTTGTAACTTTTCCAGTGTTGTTCTGTGGGAGGGAGGAAATGTTTAGAAGCCCACCATTTACCCTATCTTCATTCTTTTTAATCTACTTACAGTTTTAATACTAACTTCAATGTGTACTGAGTCAGACTGGAGCACTGAATGTTTATGAGAAATTCACCATGAAGCCAAGAGTTGTTGAAACCAGGGGCTCTTTCTGACTCTGCTTGTACGGCACCTGGCACAAGAGATCTGGTCTTTTTTAGAGATTCAAACTGCAAAACCCATGCAGTTATGGTGTCAAAGTTATGATGTCAATTAATTTTGGAACAAAGCAAAATTGAAATAAAGTAATGATGCATAATGGTGTAAATGCCTTATTTTTCCATTCTATACTGCACATTCTTACGCTCAATGTTCACTATTCTGTGTGTGCCTTGACCAGCCTGATGTGAGGTAAGTGACACACAGCTCTGCCTCAGGGGGCCTCTTCCCTACTTTTCCTCTCTCTGCCCCATGTCTCTCCAACACTAAACCTCTGTGGCATTAGCCTGACTGGACATTGCAGTGTAGCACCCAAGGAAATGGAGTTCCAGCTCAGATTTGTTTTTCTCTTCTGGGGATTGGACCTTGCTGCACTTTATAACCAATGCACCTCTTGCTAGGGGCTTTGTTCCCTGCAGTACCACCAGCGACCATGGCCTCTAGGAAGGGACACAGCTCCGCTGAGGAGCCTACCCTGTGGAGATGCAAAAAGTGGTGCTCCATGAGGCCCCCGACACTTTCAAACTCTCTTTTTTCTTTTTTCTTTTTAAAATTTTTTTTTATTCCTCCCTGAGGAACAAACTCTCCATAGGACACAATCTGTTTTCTGGTTTGTTCTTGCCCAGTGTCCTTTTCCTAGAATCAAGATGAGGATGTGTAAGGTAGTAGCACAATCTGCTGTCTTCCCATCACCTCTTCCTTCTTGTTTGTTTTGGTCAATGACACTGTTACTTTAGCTTGTCTATGACTGTTATTGAAGTTCCTTTCCTGCTATGTGCAAGGTATGTAAAAGGCCCTTGATTTCCCAATGCTATTGTGAAGAGTGGCAGAATAAATCCTTGGTTTTGACTGCAGATTTTTAGCTGAATTTACTTGGGTTAGAGGATGTTAGTAGAGCATGTGGGCAGGAACTGACAGTGCTACAGGCATGTGCTCAGTTACTGGGAGAGGCTGAACCGAGAGCAGGCACAATCCCAGCCCTGTGCTTAGCTGTCTGCCTGTCAGCACTGCTGTGGGGTGCTGGAAAACCTTCAGGACTTGGTGTGCCCACAAAGACAGAACAACTGCTGGCTTTGGTTTCGCTTCCCCAGGGAGGCAGGAGGGGTCCTAACTCTGTACCATTAAGTCTTGGCATGTGAAAGGTAAAAAGCCTTTTTGGCATCATTTGCACCTGTGAAGAATGTGACCAGCCATAGCAATGCGGTAATGAATTGCACTGAGCGCAGAGTGATTTGTATGCCATGGCAGCATGTCTAACCCATAAATCTAGAGCCTGCATGTCTTGGCTTCTCTTGGCTAAGGAAGCTGCACGTCACAGATGCTTTCTTGCTCTGCTGGCCTGTGGAGGATCTGCTTTGCTGCTGCTGAAGGGAGAACTGGATTTCTTTCTGAAGGGAGGGACTGTCTGAGGCTGCACTATGGCTTTGAAGGGGTAACAGTGGTGAAATACGGTGAAGATGAATGCAAGCTATTACTTGCTTTACAAATCACTTCCTGGTATCAAGGCTGATCCAACACCTGGACATGCAAGATTGGGCTGCAAGGCTTGCTGGACAGGCTGCTGCATTGCCAAAGGTTCGGGGTGCTTCCAAGCAGCTCCTTTCTCTGAAGGCTGCTGGGTTAAAAAACCCTGGGAGACCAAATCAAACTGTGCTTGCAGCCTCCATGAGGCAGAGCCCCAAACCTGAAGTGTCTAAGGCCAGTACTTCCTAAGTGAAGGACCCAATGGTTGGTAATGACACTGAGGAAGGCACACTGGTTCTTCCTTCTTTCAAATGCCCTGTTTTTCAGGTATCTGCGTAGTGACTCTTGTATGCTTTGCAGAGTAAAAGAAGTCTTGAAAGCAAAGCAAACTGATTTTGGGGCACTGAGAAATTTAGCCCAAAATCCCACAGAGGAACAGTTTTTCAGTCCCTGTACCTTATGGTGATAGTGGTTATGTTTTGGTTCAAGATTGTTGCCAGTGCTTGTTCACAGATTGTCTGGGTTCACTACCTGTGTTGTTTTAAGTAGACATTCATTGTTTCTGCACCCTTGTATATGGGATGAAGATATCACATTTGTAGATATAAAGAACAAGTTGTTATCATCCACTGCAGGGCCTGGCCACTGGGACAGGCCAATTCTGTGCAACAGCTGGAAATTAGGCAGTGCTGGGAGATCATACGAAGGAAGGTCCTGCAGAAACATGGCATGTCCCAGTCTCACATAGTCACAGCTGTATGCTGTGCGTCTGCTCAAGTGAGAACTTCCAGTAGGTGCCTTGGTGGCAGCCCGATCTGGGATTTGTTGCATTGCTTACAGACTGAAAAAGACATTTTTCATGGTCATTAATATGAGGTTACCTGGTCTTCTTCAGATCCCTCATTTCCTCCTTTCATTTCAGATGGAAGTATGCAGGATATCCCAGAGAAAGTGCCAAGAAAAGCAGTGTTCATTCCTCATCATGGTACATGGGAGAAAAACTCTTTTAAAATGGCTTTTACTTTTTTTTTTCTTTTTTGTATATTTGCATATGAAAACTGAGGCTTCCCTCAGGCTCATAAGCTTGATTTTTAGAGGGCTTTAATGGAGGGCACATGGTCTAATTTAAAAGGTTTCCACAACTGATTAGTTATCTTGGATAAATGCCTTGAAAGCAGCAGGTTGCAGTGTTAAGGCTCGTTCTGAAGATAGTACATATGTACATACTGTGTGTCTAGATAAAGGTATATGTTCCCTGGAAAGACAGGGTAGAGCACTGCTGGGGAACAGACAAGATTAATATGGTTTTAGTCCAAAAAAACCCCCACCAAATCACCCTCTTAAATCTACAAGTAATTTTTCCCCCCTTTCTTTACATGTCTCGTGGTCTGCTTCTGCTCTGAAATGTTTGTGACCATTGAGAACAGAGTATGCTGGAAGGTGTTTCTTCGTATTTCCACATAGGAGGATTAACCTGAGAGTTATGAAAGCAAAGTGCCAATGACCTCTACGGATACCTAATGTGTTAGGCTGCATAGCACCGATCTGCCGTCTTCGTCTGACAGTCCCTTGTAACCTGCCCTGTCGCAGCTGTTTGATGCCGTACCAGTGTAATTCATTTTGCATGGAAACAGAGCTCTGCTCATGGAATGAGAGGTTGATTGTCCTCAGAGCCGTCACCCATATTGGCGTGTCATTTGGGTTCGCTCGGAAGAGGGCAGCAAATAGCTTTTAATCTCTTGTCTACTTGTACTAGTAAAATCAGCGTGAGATGTGGGCCCGGGAGAGGATGAAGGCGAGTGTGATGTGTCTGCCTGACAATGATGCTGCAAACCTAGCTGCCCAAGTAGCAGACATTGCTTTTTGAACCTGTAACTAGTGGTTTAACAGTCCTTTTGTTGGTGATCCAAAACATCAGGCTGAAACTGGGAAGAGTGGAAGGTGGGCATCATGTTGCTGTGGCTGTGGTGGAAATATTATTGGTTCTCTGTGGGGTGTTTAGACTGATGAGCTTTGGAGGGCTTAAATCCACCACTTGGCAGGTGGGGGAAAGAAAATCATCACTAAGTGATGAGAGCAATGGGTTTCTGCTGGTGTGCCTGTTGGATGGGAGGTAGTGTTCTGAGAATACCACAGGACTAGGTAGGACGCAGATGTAGAGCAGTTCAGAGCTGTTGGCATTGGTTCTGTGCATCTGTGGAACAGAAAATGCAGAGGCTGAACAGGCAAATATGTAAGCACCCAGGGAATTTAAATGCCTCTGCACTGGGCAGGAGCTGTGGGGAGCTGAAGTTTGGGTTGAAGCATTGTGAAACGCTGACATCTGTTACGAATCATAGCCCTTAACTTGGTTGTCCCTCATGGGATACAATAAGGGCTGTGCCTGTGCTAGGGGAGCTTTTTCCACCAGTGGCTTTTACCTCTGGCATTCTCAAGCTCACCAAGAGATGGTGCAGGTGCCCACACTTGCTCTACATCTCCATTACCTGATCTTTCAACACAGTGTTAGCAAGCTAATTTTTTTCCCAGGATGAGACTTTAAATCTCTCCCATTGATCATGGCCAAAGAAGAAAGCTCAAATGGAGATTTTATTCCAGAAACAATGGCCCCCTTATGTGCGGCGTCGTGGTCTCTGTGAATGAACCTGCTGGTGAAATGAAGGCTTTTCCCCAGGCTGTTTTGTACCT